AAATTAAAACAAAATATAATTTTACATTAAATAAAAAAGTTTTAAACTTAATTAAAATAAAACATGTCTTAAATTAAAATAAGTAAACTGTCATGTTGCTGCCAAAAAAAGTTAAACAGATTTGGACAGTGAAGTCAGGATTCTTGCTCAGAAAAGGATCAACATGCTCTGAAGTCAGAGCATGTTCCAGTCCACAAAAACTTTTTTTGTAACAAAATATCGATTTCTGCTGTCCCTGTATCGATACAGTATTAGCTAACAAAATATCACCATACTACACAGTATCGATTTTTTTCCCCCCACCCCTACTAAATAAGTTACCTGCTGTTGCACCAGAAACTCATCACCAACATTAACGTACTGATGGAAATTTGGTCTTCACTTCTGCAGAATGTCACTCCTCTTGCAAGACCTGCACTGGAGCAACCAATCAGGACTGTGACGAGTGCAAGGAAGGCTGGGAGGAAGACGACCAGGAAACCTGTGTAGGTAAGACAACTTGTACTAGCTCTCCATGCTACATGACATTCTCTTAACAAAAGTACTCGGATAAAGAGGTCATCTGAGCTATTGTTCTTGCTGTTTGGGTTCCATCATTGTTCCAACTCTGATTATTATACCACTGGTTGGATAAACCTGCAAATCTCCGATCTTTTTGCTGTTTCATAACAATTTATTGACTACACAAATTGTTGCGAAATTAACCAATAATGGACCAGTTAGTTATATTTTAAACTCAGAACAGTACCAGACCTCGTACATTCTTGAAAATGTTATTTTTATGTACATTTATGTTCATTTTAAAACTTGATGCTAGTAGCACAAGTCAGAATGCTAGCACAGGTTCGTCCAATTTAGCCTCAGTTCTGTTCTTGGCTGATACCCGGTGTGGTCTTCTGCTTCTCTGAGGTTTGATCTGCTGTTTATTTAGAGATGCTCTTCTGCATACCTTGGTTGTTTGAGTTAATCTTGCCTTCTTGAAGGCTTGAAGCAGTCTGAGGTGTATATTATGAAGTGAGATTAATGGCCATGTCAAGCTTAAAGTGGACTAAAAGGCTACATGTATATGTAAAGGCCAATTTATACACCATGGAGTCCTACTTTAAAGAACTGTCATAGGTTTAACGCTGTCTATTAGGCTGGATTTAAGAATTAAGAGTTTAAAATCATAACTCAGTGGAAAAATGAGACAAAAACTAAAACGTGGTGTTTCATGTCTACTTTAAAGCAGGCTGACGCTCCTTCACCCGTACCTCTGCCAACCCCTGCTTGATTCGTTCCTTTTTGTACATTTTCCAGTGTCTCACACACACTCTTTTGGCTGTGTACACAAATTATGGGGGCGTACGCCATAATAAGTAGGTTTGGTTGAGCACAAGAATGACAACATCACAGAGCGCAAGTTTGATAACATCATGGAGAAGCTAACGGCTCTCCAACGGGAGATTGAGAGACCAGTGTTGGACTGTTAGAACTGCTTTGAAATTCATATGAGCTGTTCGCACTAAAGTAAAAAGCACCATCACTTCGTGCGGATACCCTTTTGGTGCCAGCTGCGGTCGCAAGGCTGGAGCCGAACAAAAACACCCTGATAACGACTGTGTTTAGACTGTTCCTTCCCATTCCATGCAAGGCCACCTGGGTTGGCTGGAAGACTGTTTATGTAGCCTAGCAGGGTGAAGGACACTGTCTCAGTTGAACTCTGGACACACATACACTGATATGCATTTCTGGGCAACCATTTCACTGCAGGGCAACCTGCACTTGGCGAGTAAAGCCTTGATTGATTGGTTTAATTATGATCAGAATCATCTAAATCTTATATACATTAAATACAGGATGACAGAAGTGAATAAATACCACAGAAATGGAATGAAAGGAAAAAAAACACCAAAATCATCTTTGAAAAACTTCATAATCAATACTTCGTTAAAATGCTACACTAGTGTAATTACAATCAAATGAGGTGTGTGTGTGTGTGTGTGTGTGTGTGTGTGTGTGTGTGTGTGTGTG